ATATTATAAACATAAGTATATATGCATTAAGTACGTGCAGTAGATACATAGTGTCTAGTGGCTCATTGTTGAATAATAAAATGGATTTACCTAGGAAGTCTAGGAGAAAATGCAATGAATTGTTTCAAGAGCGACTCGAATAGAAATAAATTCAATTGAAATAATTCAAAAATTAAATAAAAATTGTACTACTAGATTTCTAATGAATATTTCGTCAATGACGAATAAAAAACAATTCTATGCATTTCTGAAAGGGGGAAAGATCCCTCGGCTAGAATCATTTGATTATATTGACAATTTCAAAAAACGGATCATAGTATGATGGCCGTTGGTCAAGCAGGCCCCAATCGTCTAGTGGTTTAGGACATCTCTCTTTCAAGGAAGCAGCGGGGATTCGAATTCCCCCGGGGGTAGAGTACTATGAAAGGAAAATGATCATGGATTACCAATAAGTCGAAAATTGATTCTTCCTAGGTCGATTCCCGAGCGGTTAATGGGGACCGACTGTAAATTCGTTGGCAATATGTGTACGCTGGTTCAAATCCAACCCGGCCCAAGAATTCGCCAATCCGCCATGAGATGATATAACTCCCTTTGTACTTCAGAAATACCCGATCCGGAGATAAAAAAGAATCAAATTTTATGCTAGATCCCGTATTTCCCTGGGATTGTAGTTCAATTGGTCAGAGCACTGCCCTGTCAAGGTGGAAGCTGCGGGTTCGAGCCCCGTCAGTCCTGACGGATCCAATAAATATATCAAAAAATCTCTCCCTTTTTCTGAAGGGGACCAGGGGAAGAATTCCATTGTCAAAGCAAAGGGGAAATCCTTATTTCTTTTTTCTTTCCTTTTGGTAGGAGAAAGACATATGCGGTTGGATTAGTACAATTATTGGTAGCATTATAGTCCGTATTCCAAGAAATGTTGGCTTTTTCGATTGCCCCCGATGCATTAATGGAATGGAGTACTATACCTTTTGAGGCGAGCATACACAAAAGGAATTCCTTTCTTGTCCAATACAAAATTGAATATAAGAAAATACTATACAGAAAAAACAAAAAAAAAACAATTTCTTTATCTGGCTACGGATGTATGGAACCTAAATTACTAGTTTGAAGTTGCAAAAAGATTTCATGCAAATTGCACACTGAGCTTTTGGTATAGGTGTCCCGGGGCCAATAATCTACGAAGAAAGGAGGGGGAAGGACAGATCAACCAAAGATCCTACTCCTCTTAGAAAGGCGAATGAATCATTTTTCCTATTTTTCATTTTGTTTTAAGTCCCCATCGACGAAAGAACAAATCGAAAAATGGTAAATTTGATGAATATTCATTTTATACGGTCTCATTTTTATCACACTTCTTTGTCTTCCAAGTCAAAAATAGTTTAGTTCTAAACTCCTTTCTTTTTCCATTTAGCTTTTATTGTTTGTTTGGTTTTGTAACTATGTGACCACTGGAAGTGGAAGAGCTATTTGATGAGACTTCATCAGATGATTGTACAAGAAGGAACTAGATAGATTAGAGAGAAAAAAAGAACAGATAATAAAAAATGATAAATAAATAAAGGAATTTTGGGTTAGGTCAGCAATCCAAGTTTGGGGCGGTATGGATAAAAGAACTTCCTATGTTATACTATTCAATTCTCGACGATGAATTTATTTGATAGTTCAGTTATTGTTATTCATGATATTGATCTGATTCAAGATCATCGAGAGGTAATATTCATTCATTGAATTTATAGGTCAAAGATTTATCATCTCTATGGGATTAAATCCCGAGTTATTGCGAATTAAAAACCGCTGAGATTATGGAAGTAAATATTCTTGCATTTATTTCTACTGCACTATTTATTCTAGTTCCTACCGCTTTTCTACTTATCATTTATGTAAAAACAGTCAGTCAAAACGATTAATTATTAACTAATTTGAATGAAACTTGACTTCTGAGATCTTAGCCAAAATTGACGAAATAAAATGAAAAAAATTCCAATGTCATGTCTTAAATGAAATGAGTGGACTAGAATCGGCAGTATTCTAATAGATAGATAATATGGTAGAAAGAAATAGATGAATCTTTCTACCATACTATTTATTAGTTATATTCTTGTTATAAAGAAAGAAGTAGATGAATCTTTCTACCATACTATTTATTAGTTAGATTCTTGTTATAAAGCTGCCCCCCTGGAATAAAATAAAGATAGAGGTTGCATTTGATATGGATCTATAGATCAATCTACAATATTATCTTGATATATGCGAATATCAATTCCATATATGGGATTGACATATCATCCAATTCCATTTATTTGCTATATCTATTTGTTCTGATCAATCTGAATTACTCCTATGTCTTATAGTTTGAATTACTATATGTTTGATTTCCAATATGAATCTCGGTATCTATTGAGAAAATCAAATCAATGAAGCAAAAGCGATAGATATAGGCATATTCAAAAAATCACGTAGTAATCTCTTTTTTAACATTCCCAAGAAGTAAACCATTGACAGTAGTTCCACGGGCATCGAAAAGGAAGAGTAAACCTCATTGATTTTTAACGCCTAAACCATGATATGAAATAAGTTGATAAATTCTAAAAAAGTCTAAATCCAATTTAAAAAATTTGAAAGCAGTAAATGTGCAATATGTGACTCACCTGACGATCTTATTCTAAATAGTATCTCGTTAGACAACCACTATGTTTATATCCTTTCTTTCTCATACAAAGTGCATATACACTTAACAAAACCACTTCTTCTTTGAACAGTAAAGAGAGAAACAAATTAAAAAAAAGGGTCCGGCCCTCTTCAGTATCACCTAGGAAGAGGCCATTAATTGGAATAGAAAATTTAGTAAGAATTAGGTTCGAATAAATTTCCTGGGATCCTTTTCCTTTCTAACTACAAACATGGGAATCGTTGAAATAGCTCTTTGATTGAAAGAGGATGATTCCTATAATACATTACTCCAGTCGAGTCCAATGGAATTTCAAAATGAAGATATTTTTATTTTTTTCCTAACGTGTTGCAGAACCATCTAGAAAGCAATTGATATAGATACAGTTTGCTTCCTTAACTCAATTAGAAAAACCCCTAGAGTCCACTCCTTCCCCACACTACGAGTGAAAGGGAAAAAGTAAAGACTACCATTAAAGCAGCCCAAGCAAGACTTACTATATCCATATGAATTATGTCCCCTATCTCTATAAAAAATTAATTGTTCCATTATTCCTCACTAATACCAATAATAGTAGAATCAATGGCGCAGAGTAAAAAATAACGAAGACTATTAATAAACCAATCCAATAAATTCGCTCATTTTATAAGAAATTTCTATATGATTTATAATCGGGAAAGATTAAACCCAAGCAAAATCTGCAGTAACATCTCAAGGGAATGTTACTAATGGAACATGTAGTAATAATAGGTCCTATTCCTTTTTTATTGACCCTCATTTGAATTGATTGGATGCTTGACCAGTGAGATATTTTTGTGAGTTCCTCGTATATAATAAAGTATCTTCCGCCCCCCTCCACAACTATTTCGATTGCCTATCGGGCTCTCCAAGGTCCAGTCATTATACAATGGATTAGTAATATAAAATTTTGATTTCTAATAGAAGGTAATTGCGAAGTCTTGATAGCCCCGCGAGCATTCAAATATTTACTTGGAAGCTAAGCCTAAATATGCAATGCAAGGATATTTACAATTTTTTTAATAAAAACACCCAAACCAAAACAAGTATCAACAATCTACTTTCTCTGCTTCTGCTGGTGAAACATTCGGCGGGTTATATTAACAGAAGAAAAAAAGAGATTTCAATTTTTTTGTTGATCAGGTGACACCCGGATTTTAACTGGGGAAAAAAAGATTTGCAGTCCTCTGCCTTACCACTCGGCCATGTCGCCAAAATGCTACCAATACAAAATATATGAAACCTTTCTCGGATTACTGAACTGCTTTTTTATTGTACTTGCACCTTGAGTTCTGTTTTCCTTATTTTTTCCTAAAATTCAACTAAAACCTAATCCTTCTTCCCTTTTGATTGAGTTTGATTCATCCTTTCAATTTTGATTAAGTCTATCTCAATTCAAACCTTTCTCTTACCTTTCTATTGAAAAATCAAATGTATTCAACTTTCTGAAAATAGGATAACTATTGCCTTAGAATACATGAATGATTCTTGGATTTGAATCTCCAAATTTTGGTTTCCTAATGAAATAAGAAAATACAACTTGATATATGATATATAACTAATCAGTTCAGTATGGATATTTTCAATCAAAAAATCCTTCTCAATTTTAATTATTAATATTAATTATAACAACAATTATCAGTATATGTAAATCCCCCAAGATAAATTGTTACATAAATTAGTTCGGGCAGGATGACTAATCATTCTCCGGGTAACTCCATTTAAAATATATTGACGTGGGGAGGAATATCTTTTGTGTTATATCTGGTAATTCTTTATAATATGCAAATTGGATTCAAAACTTCCTATTTACGAAAAAAAAAAAAGGGGGAGAGTTGTCTAATATCTTTCGCATTAGTTGATACCTCAAAGGAACTTTGTTTTATACAGATACTGCCAGGAGATAGAGACAAAATTGAAGTAAGTCCTTATGATTCAACCACAGGGCATATAATTTATCGACTCCACAACAAAGATTTGAAGGATTAGGTTTTAAACTTCCTTTCGTGGGAATACAATTCAAGATGAAAAATTTCAAGAAACTTATTTTCTTCCAAGAAATAGATTCAGAATTAAGGTAAGGAATGAGAAATATGAAAATAAGAGATTCCGTTCGTAAAATTTGTGAAAAATGTCAACTAATCCGTAGGAGGGGGTGCATTATACTAATTTGTTCCAACTCGAGACATAAACAAAGACAAGGCTAATCAGACTTGCCAAAAGAGCTGATGTACAAATAAAGAATCTGTTTTAACATGAAATGGATATATCCATATATCTCTGATTCATATTTACGAGATGATAAAATATGGCAAAAACTATACCGAAAATTAGTTCGCGTCGGAATGGGTGTATTAGTTCACGTAATGGTGCACGTAGAATACCAAAGGGAGTTATTCATGTTCAAGCAAGTTTCAATAATACCATTGTCACTGTTACAGATGTACGGGGTCTAGTAGTTTCTTGGTCCTCACCTGGTCCTTCTGGATTCAAAGGTACGAGAAGAGGAACACCGTTTGCTGCTCAAACCACAACAACAAACGTTATCCGTACAGTAGTGGATCAAGGTATGCAATGAGCAGAAGTCATGATAAAAGGTCCCAGTCTCGAAAGAGATGCAGCATTATGAGCTATTCATAGCAGTGGTATACTATTAACTTTTGTACGGGATGTAACTCTGATGCCACATAATGGCTGTAGACCTTCGAAAAAAAGACGTGTGTAGAACTGAACATTGAAGACATCTCAAGAGAAATAAAATATTTGATGATCTAATCAAATAATAGTACTATGGTTCGAGAGAAAGTAACAGTATCTACTCGGACACTACAATGGAAGTGTGTTGAATCAAGAATAGATAGTAAACGCCTTTATTATGGACGCTTTATTCTGTCTCCACTTATCAAAGGCCAAGCCGACACAATAGGCATTGCGATGCGAAGAGCTTTACTTGGGAAAATAAAAGGAACATGTATCACACGTGTAAAATCTGAGAAAGTACCACATGAATATTCTACCATAATGGGCATTCAAGAATCGGTACATGAAATTTTAATGAATTTGAAAGAGATTGTATTGAGAAATAATTTATATGGATCTTCTGACGCGTCTATTTGTGTCAAGGGTCCTGGATATGTAATTGCTCAAGATATCATCTTGCCACCTTAGGTGGAAATCGTTGATAATACACAACATATAGCTAGTTTAACAGAACCAATTGATTTTTGTATTGGATTACAAATAGATAGAAATCATAGATATCTTATAAAAACGCAACATAACTTTCATGATGGAAGTTATCCTATAGATGTTGTATTCATGCATGTTCGAAACACGAATCATAGTATTCATTCTTATGGGAATGGGAATGAAAAACAAGAGATACTTTTTATCGAAATATGAACAAATGGAAGTTTAACTCCGAAAGAAGCACTTCATGACGCATCCCGAAATTTAATTGATTTATTTATTCCCTCTTTACATATGGAGGAAGACAACTTATATTTACTGGACAATCAACACACGGTTCATTTATCCCCTTTTACCTTTCATGATAAATTGGCTAAACTCATAAAAACCAAAAAAAAAATAGCATTGAAATTGATTTTTATTGACCAGTTAGAATTGTCTTCCAGGATCTATAATTGCCTCAAAATGTCCAATATATATACATTATTGGACCTTTTGAATAACAACCAAGAAGATCTTATGAAAATTGAACATTTTTGTAGTGAAGATATAAAACAGATATTGGGCATTTTAGAAAAATATTTCGTAATTGATTTAGCAAAAAATAAGTGTTAAATCTATTGGACTTACTTAGTGAAAAGTGAAAATAGATTGAAAAAGCACAATTTAGCACAATTAATATATCATATATTAGAAAGAAATTCATAATTAAATTGAATAGATGTATCTAGGGAGAATTCGCTTTGAAGAAACTATTCCCTAGATACATATGTCGTGTGTTCACAATTGAATCAATTAATTTTTTTAAAAAAAGACCTAAAGTTAGGGATTTATCAATTGGTAATGTTACACCAATGCCCAACCAAAGGGCCACTGCGGTACCAATCAAAAAGACAGTCGTCGCTACTGGACGGCGAAATGGATTTTGAAATTTATTAACATTCTCTAAAAAAGGTACTGTTATGATCCCGCAGGTACTGAAACCATTAAAAGAACCCCCAATAATTAATTGGGCACTGTACGAAGTATTTGAAATACATGAAAGAAATACCATTGAGGTAAGATTTCCAAAGGGGTTGCAAATGGATCCGCCGATTCACCAATCATTGATGGTTCTAAAACGGCTAAGCCTACATTAAATGCATAGTACCTAGAATTACTACTGGAAAAATATATAAAAGATCATTGGGCCATACGGGCTCGCCATAATAATTATGACCCATACCCTTAGCCAATTTAGCTCTTAATACAGGATCATTCAAGTAAGGTTTTTTGTTATTGGGATAGGTGAATTCTTATAGATCCACCCCCCGAGGGAAATGGACATGATAATTTTTAATCATCCAGCTTGAGCAAGAATAAAAACAATCAAACGAGTCCATATATCCATATAAAATATTTATATGGTACCGGTATTTACACATACACATATATGATATAGGAATGGTTCAATATAAGAAAAATTTGACTGAATTCTTTTCTATAGAGTTTGAACTATCCACAAAACAAATAATTATGTTCTTACAAGTAAATACTCCAGACCCAAGTAGGCTTACAAATCAGATCATGATATGATCAAGTGCTTTATGGGTCATCTCAGACCTTCTAATTGGTATTTATCTCTAAAATGCTTGAAGATACATATACAAGGTTTGCTTGTTACTAATATTGTCTAACCTGTCTTCTTCTTTAGATCTCTTGTTTCAATCCGATAGTAGTTTTGATCGTGTCAATGCATAGGAAATAAATACATTTACATACTATTAAATCTTATAAGTGAACTAGATAAAAGGGAATTTTGATTTCATCTAGTTCACTTATACTCGATCCTACGTAGCCTGCTCATGTACAACATGATACAGATCATAGAAAAGATTCTCTTTAAGCGAACTAGCCTATCCTCTATATAGGGCTTACACGGCGATTGGAACAAATAGACACATTTGGTTGTGAATTCCCATGTGGCAGGCATATATCTACACATACCAATCAATAGTTCAAGTCACACACTCCCATAATCCATTTTCTCTTCACAAAATTCCCTTCAATCCCCCCGTTTAGTTGACATGAATGGTTAAAGGGAAATATCCAAATCCATGTCTTATTATTTTTAATAATCCATACTTGTAACAATGAAAAACTATATATTCCTACACCAAGTGATAAACTATTGATTACAAATAGTTAGGATATGTTTTGATTTTCTCTATCTATAAAGGCCAAGAAATACCTTGTTTACGTATCATTGGAAAGTGCATTAACATAAATACGGCAGTAAGAAGCGTCAATACAAAAGTGTGTAAACTATAAAAACGAGTCAAAGTATTTTGTCCCACACTAGCGCTTCCGCGCAATAAGTTGACCAAAGGTGATCCTATTACAGGAATAGTGTCAGGGACACTTGTTACTATTTTCACTGCCCAATAGACAATTTGGTCCCAAGGTAAGGAATAACTAGTTACGCCAAAAGATGCGGTTAATACAGCCAGAACCACACTTGTAACCCAAGTCAATTCACGAGGTTTTTTAAATTCGTCGGTGAGATACACACGAAATACATGCAGGATCATCATTAGGACCATCATACTTGCCGACCATTGATGAACGTATCGGATTAACCAACCAAAGTTGGCTTCAGTCATTATGTATTGAACAGAAGAAAAAGCCTCAGTAACGGTCGGACGATAGTAAAAAGTCATAGCAAACCCGGTAGCTACTTGTACTAAAAAACAAGTAAGCGTAATTCCCCCTAAACAATAAAATATATTGACTTGGGGAGGAACATATTTACTAGAACGGTTACAATTAAACTCGGCCCAATCTTTTACTAAAAGGATTGAGCCGAATACAACTAAGATTCTATTGCATATATTTTGATCAAGATTTGAAATACAAAATCTAGAAAACTAAATCAAAATCTAAGACTCAAATCTTTCTATTGTTGTCTTGGATCCACAATTAATCCTACGGATCCTTAGGATTGGTATATTATTTTCTATCCTGTAGTTTGTAGTTTCCCTGAATCAAGCCAATTATTACAACTCTTTCTACCTATCCTGTATATTGTCCCCTTTGTTCCGTGTTGAAATAGAACATTAATTTATTACTTATTATTAGAGTTTAGATTGTTAGATTAGTTAGATTAGTTAGTGATTAGATATTAGTATTAGACGAGATTTTACGAATTTTTTTAATTTCTTTATAGGAGAGGACAAATCACTTTTTTTCGATGCGAATTTGACACGACATAGGAGAAGCCTCCCTTTATCAAAAATTCTATTATTTTAATAATAAAAGGGGTTCCAACATATTAATATATACTGAAGTGTTCCCCTAGATTCCGAACTTTTTTTGAATACTCACAATCCGTATTAGTTAATAATCCTAGTGATTGCATTTCTATGCTTAGTCTGATAGGAAATAAGATATTCAAATAAATAATTTTATAGTGAATGACTATTCATCTATTGTATTTTCATGCGAATATGGGGGCAAGAAAACTTTATGGAAAGATGGTGGTTTAATTCGATGTTGTTTAAGAGGAGTTCGAACACAGGTGTGGGCTAAATAAGTCAATGGACAGTCTTGGTCCTATTGAAAATACCTGTGAAGATCCAAATCTAAAAATGAAAAACATTCATAGTTGCAGTAATGTTGATTATTTATTTGGCGTTAAAGACATTTGGAATTTCATCTTTGATGACACTTTTTTAGTTAGTGATAGGAATGGAGACAGTTATTCCATCTATTTTGATATTGAAAATCAGATATTTGAGGTTGACAACGATCATTCTTTTCTGAGTGAACTAGAAAGTTCTTTTTCTAGTTATCGAAACTTAAGTTATTATTATGAGAATCAATCCTACTACTTTTTGTTCTGGGTTTCCACGCTTGAAAATAAAAACACAGGGCGTGTCGTCCAAATCATCGGTCCGGTACTAGATGTAGCCTTTCCCCCGGGCAAGGTGCCAAATATTTATAACGCTCTGGTAGTTCAAGGTCGAGATAGTGTTGGTCAACCAATTAATGTGGCTTGTGAGATACATCAATTATTAGGAAATAATCGAGTTAGGGCTGTAGCTATGAGTGCTACAAACAGTCTAACGACAGGAATGACAGTGATTGAAACAGGAGCTCCTATAAGTGTTCCAGTCGGGGGAGCGACTCTGGGATGAATTTTTAATGTGCTCGGAGAGCATGTTGATAATTTAGGGCCTGTAGATACTAGTACAACATCTCCTATTCATAGATCCGTGCCCGCCTTTATACAGTTGGATACAAAATTATCTATTTTTGAAACAGGAATTAAAGTAGTAGATCTTTTAGCCCCCTATCGCCGTGGAGGAAAAATCGGACTATTCGGGGGAGCTGGAGTGGGTAAAACAGTACTCATTATGGAATTGATTAACAATATTGCTAAAGCTCACGGGGGCGTATCCGTATTTGGCGGAGTGGGTGAACGTACTCGGGAAGGAAATGATCTTTACATGGAAATGAAAGAATCTGGAGTGATTAATAAAGAAAATATTGCAGAATCAAAAGTGGCCCTAGTTTACGGTCAGATGAATGAACCGCCGGGAGCTCGTATGAGAGTTGGTTTGACTGCCCTAACTATGGCGGAATATTTCCGAGATGTTAATGAGCAAGACGTACTTCTATTTATTGACAATATCTTCCGTTTCGTCCAAGCAGGATCCGAAGTATCGGCCTTATTGGGTAGAATGCCTTCCGCTGTGGGTTATCAACCGACCCTAAGTACCGAAATGGGTTCTTTACAAGAAAGAATTACTTCTACCAAAGACGGGTCCATAACCTCTATTCAAGCAGTTTATGTACCCGCAGACGATTTGACCGACCCTGCTCCTGCTACGACATTTGCACATTTAGATGCTACTACCGTACTATCAAGAGGATTGGCTGCCAAAGGTATTTATCCAGCAGTAGATCCTTTAGATTCAACGTCAACCATGCTTCAACCTCGGATCGTTGGTGAGGAACATTACGAAACCGCCCAAAGAGTTAAGCAAACTTTACAACGTTACAAAGAACTTCAGGACATTATAGCTATCCTTGGATTGGACGAATTATCCGAAGAGGATCGTTTACTCGTAGCAAGAGCGCGAAAAATTGAGCGTTTCTTATCACAACCCTTTTTCGTAGCAGAAGTATTTACCGGTTCTCCAGGGAAATATGTTGGTCTAGCAGAAACAATTCGAGGATTTCAATTGATCCTTTCCGGAGAATTAGATGGTCTTCCTGAACAGGCCTTTTATTTGGTAGGTACTATCGATGAAGCTACCGCGAAGGCTATGAACTTAGAAATGGAGAGCAATTTGAAGAAATGACCTTAAATCTTAGTGTACTGACCCCTAATCGAATTGTTTGGGATTCAGAAGTGGAAGAAATTGTTTTATCTACTAATAGTGGTCAAATTGGCATATTACCAAATCACGCCCCTATTGCCACAGCTGTAGATATAGGGATTTTGAGAATACGCCTTAACGACCAATGGTTAACGATGGCTCTGATGGGTGGTTTTGCTAGAATAGGAAATAATGAGATCACTGTTTTAGTAAATGATGCGGAGAAGGGTAGTGACATTAATCCACAAGAAGCTCAGCAAACTCTTGAAATAGCGGAAGCTAATGTGAAAAAGGCTGAAGGAAGGAGACAAAAAATTGAGGCAAATCTAGCTCTCCGACGAGCTAGAACACGGGTGGAGGCTAGCAATCCGATTTCATAACTAGTTGGTACGTTCGAATAATAAAAAGAAGTTCTCTTTCTAATCCTATTTAGATTTATCGGGTGAATACAATCAAATACAATCAAACAGAATCCAATTCTAATGCAAAAATTCAAATTAAAAAATAAATAGAAAAGATACAAAATCAAAAAATAAATATCACTAAAGGTGGGTTGTAAACCTTATTAGATACCATTGACTCTGGTATCTAATAAGTTTTACCTACTATTGGATTTGAACCAATGACTCCCGCCGTATGAAAGCAGTACTCTAACCACTGAGTTAAGTAGGTCATTTATCATCCCAAAGAGAACCAAATGAAACCCATCCTGTCGATGGATTATAAATATCATATTACTTATAAGCAATACTAATCTAAGGAATACCACTCAAAAGATCAAAGATTCTTGATGTTGGATCATGGAATATTTCTCTTGACAAGAATTTACCTACATGATAAAATATGTATCACAAGCACTAAGGGCTATAGCTCAGTTGGTAGAGCAACTTTTACACGGCGCCAATGTTTTTCAAGGGAGTTCATCACACAATCAGAAAAATTGATCTTGTTGAGAAATCGATGTCTTACTCCATAAATTTGAGGGAACCATAGCCTGACAAAGGTTCGGTCCAATTTGGACACCCATTTAGGAGGTGCCAAACAGACCCCATCATTGATTTGAGATCTTGATAAGGTGAATACCCAGTCTATTCAATGCTAGGCATAATGAATGTAAGGACCTCAAAGGTTATGAATACCCGTCTATTAAGGTGTATGAAGTTTCATATTTGATTTTTAAGTAGAACGATAGAGACTTCATTTAACTTAGGTTGATCTAGGCCAGAGACAGACCTACGTCAAGATAATCCCACCTTTGAAACACTTTGGTAATGCTCCCAAATAATGAATCAGAGCACATGGAGCCATTTCCTTATCTTTTTTTCTGTCAAGAAAAAAAATGGCTGACAACTGATATTTAGATCAGTTAATGAAGGAGCCCAATGCGAAAAAAAAAATGTATGTTGGGTCTTTGAAATAGTTCAGATCATTTTAATAATAATAAGTTTGATCTGTTTTACCGAGAAGGTCTACGGTTCAGTCCGTATTGCCCTATAAAAATGAAAAATGCAAATTTTTTGTATAATTTGCATTTCTTCATTATTATTTCTTGCTTGTAACTAAATGAAATCCAATTATTCCTATAAGTTTACTCACGGCAATCGTTTAAGCAGATGAAAGGAAAAAACCATATCAATGGATCCAATAGATATTGTTTTTCAATTGCAGATAAACACACCAACCTTTCGTCATTAATCATCGGAGGCGAATTACATATTCATATCCACAATAAAAGAATTAGTGAGACTCCCTTTCTTTTGATATCCCCAATCTTATTGAATTTTGGAAGTCAACTCATTTCACGGGCCTGGTAAATGCAAAACTACGAAGAGGAATTCACATGGATTTAGGAAAAGCCTGCTCTATTTGTGTACAAGCTAAAGTTTTTTGAAAAATGAATATCTTTGGTCACTTTCATTGTCAAATAGGCTTTTCCTTCGTATACCTTACTTACCTCGACCTAGCGAAGCACAACAAAAAAATGGTAGTCTTCTTTTTCTGTATTCAAACCAAGAAAAACCCTCTCCACCTGGATTCGAATCCTAATAGTATTATTAAATAATAATTAAATACTAATAAAAGGAATATACCAACACAGGATCTTCTAAATCTTGATATGGAAATTCCTAGACATTCTCTTCTATTTGATTACTTGTTCTATTCTAAATCACTAAAAAAAAATGAAAATAAAGACCTCCTGATTCTATTTATAGAAATAAATAGAAATCTTTAAAGAATTTCTAATTAAAGAAGAAATAAGATAAGTAATTAATTTCGAATTCCCCGTCGTTAGAGAAAAAAACAAGAGAAACAGGAGAATTTGTCGAAGTATATAGTTAGAAGGTTCTACTAACTAAATAAAATGGAAATAAGTATAATGGAAATAAAATCGGATTCTAGTCGATGAAACTTGCAATGAGATATGCCCTACAATAAACCAATAAACAAAGTAAACTAGGCGGTTCGACCAAAATGAATTCTTGTTTTGACTAAATAGTTATGGATGACTGGACAATTCCAATTCGAATCGACCAATTGAATTCGGTATATTTTCCATGTTCATAGGAGTGCGTTTATGTTTCTACTTTACGAATATGATTTTTTTTAGGCATTTCTAATAATATCCATCCTTGTTCCTATTTTGGCATTTTTCATTTCCGGAGTGTTAGCCCCTGATTAGCAAAGGGCCGGAGAAACTTTATACTTATGAGTCGGGTATAGAACATATGGGCGATGCTTGGTTACAATTTCGAATCCGTTATTATATTTTGCTCTAGTTTTTGTTGTTTTTGATGTTGAAACGGTTTTTCTTTATCCATGGGCAATGAGTTTCGATGTATTGGGTGTATCTGTATTTATAGAAGCTTTCATTTTCGTGCTTATCTTAATTATTGGTGTAGTTTATGCATGGCGAAAGGGGGCATTGGAATGGTCTTAGCTCCTGAATATTCAGACAATAAAAAGAAAAAATGGAAAAAATAAGATTGAGACAGTTATGAATTCCATTCAGGTTCCTTTACTTGATCGAACAGCCCCAAATTTAGTTATTTCAACTACATTAAATGATCTTTCAAATCGGTCAAGACTCTCTAGTTTATGGCCGCTTCTTTATGGTACCAGTTGTTGCTTCATTGAATTTACCTCACTAATAGGCTCACGCTTAGACTTTATCGCTATGAACTCGTACCAAGATTGAGTCCTAGACAGTCGGATCTAATTTTAACAGCCGGAACATTAACAATGAAAATGGCCCCCTCTTTAGTAAGATTATATGAGCAAATGCCCGAACCAAAATATGTTACTGCTATGGGAGCCTATACAATTACAAGCGGGATGTTCAGTACCGATTCTTATAGTACTGTTCGGGGAGTCGATAAGCTGATTCCTGTAGATGTATATTTGCCAAGTTGTCCACCTAAACCGGAAGCAGTTATAGATGCTATTAAAAAACTTCGTAGGAAAATATCTCGAGAACTCTATAAAGATCGAATTAGGTCTCAACGAGCGAATCAGTGTTTTACTACCAACCACAAGTTTCATGTTCGACGCAGTATTCATACGGGAAATTATGATCAAAGAGTTCTTTATCAACCACCATCTACTTCAGAGATCCCTGCGGAAATCTTTTTCAAATACAAAAATTTAGTATCTTCCACCGAATTAGTGAATTAGATAGGATTCCTTTGTCCAGAATAAGAAGTGGTGGGTTAATTTTCATAAATTTCATCGTAAATGTGAAATACTTATACAACTAAAAATGCGGGAGAGATAAAAAAGATGCAGGGTCATTTTTCTGCTTAGCTAGTCAAGCATGGGCTAATTCATAGATCTTTGGGCTTTGATTACCAAGAAATAGAGACTTTACAAATAAAGCCCGAGGATTGGCATTCCATTGCTGTCATTTTTTATGTATATGGGTACAACTATCTACACTCTCAATGTGCCTATGATATAGGGCCTGGCGAGCTATTAGCTAGTGTGTATCATCTTACGAGAAAAGAGGATGGTGTGGATCAACCAGAAGAGCCATGCATAAAAGTATTTGCCTCCAGGAGGAATCCTAGAATTCCGTCTATTTTCTGGGTTTGGAAAAGCGTGGATTTTCAAGAATGAGAATCATATGATATGTTGGGAATCTCTTACGATAATCATCCACGCTTGAAACGTATCTTAATGCCTAAAAGTTGGATAGGATGGCCATTACGTAAGGATTATATTGCCCCCAATTTTTATGAAATACAAGATGCTCATTGAATGAAAAGAAAGCAATTTCCAGTTAGACAATTTCAGATATTCAACGATTGCACGTTTGGTTATAGATTAAGCCTAACAACAAAAGACAATTAGGGATTCATTGGAATTCTCACATTTGTTTTGAAGATACTTGTTTCGGATGGGTCACACCAATAGGATGAACCAAATGAGTTCTGCATCATGAACTTTGTACTGCGCACATTACTTAGACAGGTTCTAGAAAGGCATATAGGAAGGAATTGACAAATCTAGAATAAAGAAATCCAATTTGAAAGAAAAGATACAAAAATGAGATAATATCAGATTCTATTTCTTTGGATCTGAGCTGAATCTTGTCTATTTCAACCCCCCTAGATTCGGATTCGACTCTAATATGTAATACGTATTCAAATTCGTTTGAACAAGAGGAGAAAAAAAGAGGAGATAGAATCCAATTCTTTTAGATACTTTATCTAAGAAACTCTACCCATCTATGTTCTAGATGGGGTATATCTCGCTAAATTGGATAAAGCTATTATTCTAATCTAGACTATAAAAAAACATGCATCATTCGCATACCCGTGGCAGCTTCGAATAGGTCATATCAATTAATTAGAAATTAATTCTATGGAAGAGAGACCCATACAAATTAATCATGTGCCAAGAACCAGATTTGAACTGGTGACACGAGGATTTTCAGTCCTCTTCTGTACCAACTGAGCTATCCCAGCTATTCCCAATCTCGATTG